AGCTGAGATCAAAGGTGATATTTTTACAGCAACTGAAATAGAAAACCACTGGACACAGTGGGAGGTGAGTGGCCGGGACACAGGCCCCTCTATGATGCCTGTGGCTTCAGCAAGCATTCTGCCCTCTGCCTTGGGTGTGGGGGACTGTGTGGTGATCTTCCCAACCAAGGTTCAAGGAGGAAACAGACATGAGCAACAGCCCTCAGTGCTGGGAGAGGAGAGGGACATCAGTGAAGGATCATAGTGAGCACTCGGTGCCTGACATCCTCACCCCAGACCACTCTGTAACTGTGCAGTAGTGTCTGAGTTGTTCCAGGGCTTCTTGGTACACCGTTTCATCTGTACAGAGGCCTCTGAGGAGGATTATTGTCACCCCTGTTTTACTGAGAGTGCTTGAAACTAAGTCCTGTAGGGAATTGGGGGCCAATTCAGAACTAGAAGCCTGGGGCTGCTGGTCCAAGATTCTTTCTGCTCTTTTTTTTTTTTTTTGGTACCAGGGATCGAACGCGGGTCCTTGCGCTTGCACAGCAGGCAGCAAAACCACTGAGCTACATCCCCAGCCCTTCTTTCTGCTCTTTATAATCCTGCCCACCTACTCATGCTCCAAATCACTGTTCCCATTAGCACTGGTCCTGGCTGCCCCTTCCATAATAGCACCCACAGTCATGTCCACGAAAGCAGTGGGACTCAAAGCATGGCCCCCAGATCAGCAGCATCAGCATTATCCAGGAACATGCTAGAAATGCAGATTGTCAGGTCCCAACCCAGATTTACCTAACCAGAAACGAAGTTGGGCCCAGCCCTCAAGACTTCAACATACTCTCCAGGTGATTCAGTTGCACTAACGGTGAGGATCACTGCACTGTGTTACCTCAGTTTCCACATCTGTACTCTACAGAAAAAAACACCTGTCTCACAAGGTTGAGCCCAGTGTTGTCTAACACACATGCTAGGTGTGTGCCCTGTGCCAAGCATCCTTCCAGCCCTTTGCAGGCATTAACTCACGTAATTTCACAACCCTGTGAGATAGGAGCTAAGTCTCCTCATCTCACAGATGAGGAAATGGAAGCACAGAGAGGGAAAGGGACTTGGCCAGGGTCGCACAGCTAGGAAATAGCTGGGTTCTAGAATCCCAGCTCTTTACAGCTAACCAATAGAAAGTCCCTGACAATGGGTCTGGCTCCCAAATGTTCTGGGCATGACTAAAAATGTTATGATGGCAATTAGTATTACCTCACCTGAACTCAAGATGATGACCCCCATTCTGTAAATGTGAAATCTGCTGCCTTGTCAAGATCGAGGCGTGAGTCAGCTTCAACCACAGCCACAGTGTCTGAAACCCCAGTACAGCACAGGCCTCTCCCTTCCCTGATCCAGGAGACCACAGTGTACCATTCTGGGCTGCTGGAACAACCCAGCTGGTTGCAGGGTAGAATGTGGGCTCTGGCAGAGAGGGAGCTGGAGCCCCAGTTTGGCCACTCAAGTTCTGCGTGACCTCTCTGAACCTCACATTCCTTCTCTGTAAATTGATCGATGACAGTCCTAACTCTGAAGGTTCCTGTGAGGTTGGAGACAATGACATTTGTCCCAACCCAGAGCATGCACAGAGCTGGCTATCATCAAGCAACTTGCCCCTCTCTTCCCCCTGTGGCTGCTAGCTCAGTGGAAACAGCAGCTCCGAATCCAGAAAGGTTTTGAAAGGAGAAGAAATAAGTTCCCAAGAACCCAAGTGCTTTTATCCTCCAGCTTCCCTAACCTGTTCCACATCTCTCCTGCCCAAGGTGTTGGGGTTAAATACTGACACCAGCTGCACCCAAGTCAGGAGTCCAGTTACCTGCAAAAGGGAGAGGCGTCTTACTCCCCCAGCCTCATTGGCTAGGCAGGCAACAACAATCAGCAGGAGCATCCAAGACCTGTCACCACCATGGCCAGTTTGGCCTGGACATATGAAGCTCGTTAGCTGCATGCTCCTAAGGGCCTGAGCCCGCTTGGCAAGAATTTCCCCAGACAGGGCAACCCATTTGGGACCCCTCCTGTCTCCCAGGAGCTATTCTTATTCCTAATTCTTATTCTCCATTCTTATTCCCCAATAAATGTTCCTACTCTTAACCTCTGTTGTTCCTTAGACAAACGTGCCATATCTGATATCTAGCATGATGGGAGCAACGTCTATTCCCCCTATATCCCCCCTTCTGTCTCTCTTAGACAGAAGCTATCTTTCTCTCAATAAATCCTTCTTAAATATGGTATTTATACACAATGAAGTACTATTCTGCTCTAAAGGATAAATTTGAGTCATTTGTAGAAAAATGGAGGCACCTTGAAACCATACTATTAAGTGAAATACTATAAATCAGACCCAAGCTCAAATATCACATGGTTTCTCTTATATGAGAAACCCAAAGTATAAAAAAATTTAAAGAGCAAGTTAAAGATAGATAATAGGAAACAGAGAGCTAGATTTTTTGCAAATGGAAAAAGTACCAAGAGATAGATAGAGATGAGAGGAAGAGAAGAGGAAGTAAGAGGAATTAAGATGTGTTTGTTATGTACCAATTCCCCATGATGAATGTAATCATTATGTACTGCAAACATGTACTAATAAAAATTAAAAAAAAAATTCTTCCTACTCTTAACCTCCATTGTTCCTAGAATTCATTCGAGTTTAGAGAGCTCGAACTTGGCATTTCAAATGTCTAGCGGGCATTGAAACCAGCATGCTACAGGGATACCCGCATACCCACGTTTACTACAGCATAATTCACAGTAGCCAAGACATGGAGCCAGCCGAGGTGGCCACGGACAGTTTTAGCAGATACAAAACACTGCAGCCCTCAGCAGACACACACTCCTTAGGCGGTTGAAGACCAGGTATATGTCCTACTGTCTCCACCCAGATACAGATGTTCTGTGTCCTCACACAGAACGCAGAACGGATGTTATAGAAAGGAGAAAAGACCACAAAGCACAGCACAACATCTTCCCGGTGCCAGGTCAACTGACAACACCCACACATCTGCCCTGCCCGCTGCATGGACCCTGACCACAAATATTTGCTCCAGCCCCTGTAAGTGCCAGACCCCTTCCTGATCCCCTATAAAAATCCCTGCCTGTTTGGTTGTTGGCCCTCAGTCGACTTGCACCCAGGTGAATAAAGTCTGTGCCTCATTGCTTTCCCAAAAAAAAAACAATTTCCCCAGACAGAGCTGCAGAGGACATGGCAAATGAAGACCAGGTGAGGGGCGGCCACAAGGGGTGGAGGAACCACAGACTCCAGAGTGGCCTCAGGGAAACCCCCGAGGGCAGAGGAGGCTGGGACTAAGCCCTGGCCTGGCTGGGCCCAGCCCAGTTTTGACTCAATGGGTGGGTGGGGCTTGGGTTGCAAGGGTAGGTTTTCCTCCTCAGACTCAGTTCCCCCACTGTGTGCATCATTGCAGGAGGGGCTGTGAGGTATCCATTGCCTTTCAGCTCCAAGGTTCTGAGGTCCTTGCCTAACCTAGAATTCCAGGCCTTGTTATAGTTCAGTGCTGAGGGAGGTGAAGAATGGAGGCAGGTAGGGGAATAATTTAGTGGGGAGCTCTGATCCCCCCAGATTGGAAGCCAGGAAGGGAAGACCAGAAAATAACACCACACCCCAAAACAGTCTGTCCCCATAAGTGGTGAGATGGTCATGCTGGTTGGAGACTGGGGGGGTGGGGGCTGGGGTGGGAGTGGGAGCTGAACCTTCCAAAATGGGGTACCCACCAGGGCAGGTGGGCCAGGACTGGAGGACTCCTTCCTTTCAGACTGTTTCATGTTGCTGTCCAGCTGGGCCATAGCTAACTTTCTCTGAGCACTTTTTGTCCACTTATTTTATGCTAGGCTCAGTTCTAAGTACTACATGCATATTAAAATTATTTAACCCTTTCACTGGGTGGCAGATCCTGGGTAACTGATCAGCCTGGAGTGTGACCCTCGCCTGTTAGGTTCTGACACAGGCCTTTCTCCAGACGACTAGAGGTCAGCCAAGCTGGCCCTAACCCTGTCCTCAGGATGGTGCCTCCTCCCAATGCAGTTATAGCTGACCCCAGGCAGTCTCCCTTTCCACTGACAGGAATCACCTGTCCTGTTTCTGGGCTCCCTCACTCCTGGGAGCCAGGTCTCTAGCAAGTTGTTGATAGTAGGCCTGGAATCTAAGCACATGTAGACCTTGCTGAAGCCCGGGGAGCCATCCTCACCCTCCTCGGGGAGGTCCTCTGTGGGGGTTGGGGTCGGCACATCTCTGATACAATGACCTTGACCTTGTGGACAGGGCTGGATGTGCACACAGCCAAAGTGGGCTTTTCAGAACCTTAGCTTTTCTCTGCATGCCTCACTCCTTGGTTATTGCATTCTTTCTTTAGAGGTCCCCCATGGATAGGCTGTAGAGCTATTCCTGAGCCAGGAGCCTTTGATTCATTTCCCTCTCACAGCATATCTAAGAACGGTCCAGAGAAGGGTGGGGACCTGCCCGAGCTCACACAGCCAGGCAGACAACCCTGGATTCCAGACTATGCCAATTAAACAGTTTATCCCTTTTAAATGCAAAGACCTAGTTGTATAACTGCAAAAAAAAAAAAAATCAGAAAATATAAGCAAAAGTAAATACAAATAAATATACCTTGAGTTTGTTTTTCAGAGAAATTTCCATTGCCCTTCTCATCCCTTCTCACTCCCCTTCACCACACCCCTCAAATCTAAACCACTCATGGTCACCGACCCCAGCCATAATCAATATCTTGCTTGCTTTTGCCAACAGCTGTTCCCAGAGGAATAGGCCTTGACAGCAGATCCTGGAAGACAGCCTTAGGCCGGATTCTGGAAAGGCCTAGCATCTCTTCCGGAACAGCAGGGCTTCCACTGGAATGGAACTGTTTAAGTGCAGGGGAACTGTTTAAGTGCAGGCTATGGTAAGAAACATTCCTGGCCAGGAGTCTAGAGATTGCCTTCATCCCTGCCTGGTCTATGGATATGACCTAGGGCTGGTTCCTGCCCCTTTCTGAGCCTTGGTTTCTTCAGTTGTAAAGTGAAGATTTGGATTTGATCAAATAGTTTCCCCACAACCAGTCTTAGGCTGTCAGCCTCTCTTGGGCAGGAACCATGTCTCCTTTGATAGAACTTACCATCACAGTATAAGGCTCAGGCCCAGGGCATTTCTCCCTAGCTGTATGAGTGACTGACAGGGTACCTCATCATTCTGAGTTCCTCCTTGGAAAGAACAGATCTGTGTGTGCTCAGATCTGCCATTTCTCCCGAGACCTTTGGACTATAGAGTGAGGTGCTTGCTGGCTGATTTGCTGGAGTGTGCCCTGCCTGCCTAGCACCTGGCTCCATCCTGGCTCCAGGGCCCAGGCCCAGGCTTGTCGATGGAGCCACTGTCTGTCCACAGTGCTCACTCGGCTCTGGAAGGAGAGTGTGTGGACGCTGGGCCCAGCCCATCACATAGAGTGTCAATAACATTGCTCAGAGGGCCTCGGGCCCCATGACCTCATAGACAGCAGTTTCCATGTTGGAGCTCACAGCTAAGGCCATTTTTAAAACTAGCACCACCTTTTTTTCCTTTTTTGCATTTTGGCTAACATATGGAATGTGAGAGCTGCTGAATTGCTCTAGGAAGTAGGAGAGCCTGATTCTGAAACTGACTGTGGTTTCTGGGATCCCCAAAACAATGGCAAACACTGGGACCCTGGCCCCTGCTCCCTCAAGCTCACCCTGACCCTAGTCCAGAATCCTCTGAGAGGATCAAGGTCAGGGGGAGAAGAACTTGCTTCAGTTGCCAAGATGAGCTCTCTGGACCTCTCTTGGCATCTATAAAACAGGAATAATAGCCCTTCCCCTCAGTACTGCTGTTAAAGGATGCAACACTAGCTGTCCATCCATTCATTCAATTGACACCTGTATACCAGGCACTGTTCCAAAAACTGGTATAGCAGTGAGCACAGCAGACAAAACTCACCCCCTGGTGGAGCTACATGATGGAGGAAGACAGACAATGACCAGATAAATAAGGTGTCTTAATCTTCTAATGTGTGACAAAATACTCAAGGCTGGGTATTTCATTTTGGCTCTTGTTTCTAGATGCTGGGAAGTTCAACATTGGGTGGCTGCATCTGATGAGCTTCTGGTAAGGGCCTCATGCTATATAAATTCATGTAGAGAAGATAAAAGGGAAAGTGAGTATGTGTAAAAGAAGCATGTATGCCAGAGAGAGACAGGGAGACTTACCTGCTTTACAACAGTCCACTCTGCCAAAACAAATCCATCCTGGAGAGAGATAACTCACTCCTGTGAGACCTAAACCAGTCTCTCCAGAAAAACATTAATTCATTCATGAAAATTGTGCCCTCATGATCTAATCACCTCCCACTAGGCTCCACCTTTCAAAGATCCCACTACCTCTCAAATCCATTACATTGAGAACCAAGCTTCAGCACATAAGGTTTGGGGGCAAGGCACACTACATCCAAACCATAGCAGAAGGATACAGCATGTTAGATGGTTAATGGTAGCGGCTATGGAGGAAAACTGTCTGGAGGAAGGATGGAGAGTACCCTCAGGGAGGAGTAGGATCTGTTTGTAGTTTCACATAAGGTGGTCAGGCCAGGCTTCACTGAGAAGGGGCCTTGAGAGGACGCTGAAGGAGGGGAGGAGGAGGCTCTGTGGTCATTTAGGGTAAAGGCATTTCTAGCCATGGAAGGACGTTGGCTATTGTGGAGTTGGAAATGGCACCCTAAGTGTCTCCCCTACACCTCAAAAGTCTTCAGCGCCATTCTGGACACAGGCAACCTCTAGAAAGTTGAGGGCGTAGTCACAGCTGGGGGTCACATCTGTCGGGTAGGCTCTATTCAACAGGCCCTTGCTAAACACCT